CGGTCCGGACGTCTTCCACAATTTCAAAGCACTTCTCCAGGTATGAAGTTGTCCCTTAACTGCAATGCTTCGTTCACTGCCCTCGTAGCGATTAAACTCCCCCATCTTCTACTTGTCAGAACAAAACGTTCAACGCAAACGACGACATTGGGACAATTAGGCTCTGTTGGTTACTCCCTATGATTGTCGAGAAAAGGGCCAGAGGGGGGGGGCCGCCCAGAAGACAGCGATGCATTTTTCTTACTGTTTTTTGTACGACGAGGAGGAGTCTAGCTGTCTTTTGGCCCATGGTGTGATATGTCCACTCTATCACCAGGGAAGCATAGCAGAATGAAAAACGGTGGAGTGACGGCAGCCTGGTTGTGGTCGCTGCAGGAGGGAGGGCAGGGGCACATGCTCAACTAATAGAGCTCTAGGAGACTGCAGGGTAATATAAGTGGTCTCAGGGGATATTTTACGCAAACTCAGCTTTATCAACAGCTTCTCTGCTCACTTCCATCCTCCTGCAACCCAGACCGCAGTCACAGACACTACAGGGCTGAGCTGGCCGACGAAGTCTGCTCGTTGAACTGCCCCCTCCATACTGCATCATAAAGTTTTAATCCAGTGAATAGGGCTTAGGATGCATTCAATGGAACCTACCCCTTACGATTCCGAATTATCATGCTAGTTAGCTCGTCTTGCGGGTTTAGTGGCTGTAACACCTTATCTCCCCTCTGAAGTTATCATAATCGAGACGCAGGAGTCTCTTTTGATCGTTGAATGTCAACTGGCGGTCTTAGGCGTGTCACAGAGCCCGATGTTTTGGGTTGAAGGACGCAGCCCAAATTTTAGTGGATATTATCAGTTCTCACAAGCCCTCATGGGACGTTTTCGCGGCATCCGTTATTCCAGCATTCTCGTGAAGAAAACCTCAACTACCATTCTTTATTCAGTTATGCCAGTGATCCGTAAGAATTCTTTTCGTAACCTTCTCCACTCCAGTGATGATATTGATGTGGCAGTAGCTCACCGGCTTTTTGACATATTTTCAGGTTTTTATAACTAGGCAAATATCAATCATCTTCCGGGATTGTGGGACAGTCGCGTCATGACGAGTTGTTTGCTGAACGCAGTTAAACCATGGGTGATGAGGATTCAGTAATATGTAGTCGCAGTCCCTACCACTTCGTCGGTCCTTTTCTCTGTATGGCTGTTCGCAGATAATCCACAGAGAAATCTTCTGTCTGTTTCCGCCCTTGTTTTATTGACTACATTGAACTTTGACGGAGGCTGACTCAGAATTCCCCCTATGACTTCGTTCGCCGGCCCTGCAGAACGTATACAGGACCCTAAAATTGTCCTTCACAAATATAATATTAACACGAACTATCATTAAAACTAATCAGCGTGTACGCTTGGATGTCGTTTTAAAGCCATACAGTCCTTGGTAGAGCACATGAAATGCTGACCGAAGTTCGGAAATGCGCTCTCAATTAGGAAAGATTACTCAAGTGGTGCTGTAATCTTGGTTATTTTTGCAGCATAATCTTAAAATATTTCCGACGAGCCTGGATGCCGGCTTTTGAATGCAACTATTTCCGGCCGCCTACGAAAACCTCACAAAAATGGCTACTCTTGTAGTGCGCATTGTTTATATTAAGTTTCGATACTCTTGTGCGGTAAATTGTCTATCGCATGAAATGTCAGCCGAAAGACTGAAAGGTGTTTTCGATTTGAACGTACTAATTAAGTATGCTTGTAATATTGATTAGTATGCGACTTAATCTCAATATGTTTCAGTCACCTCAGGATGCTGGCTCTTAAGCGAGCTTCCTCTTGACCACCAGCAGAAAGTATATTCTGTAAAAACGTTGCTACTTAAGTAGTATGCCCTTTTTTCTCATTAATTTTCACTGCCTAATAAATGCGAATATATTTCGTAGAAAAAAAATGCACAAGAATATTCTTTCTTGTACTCATTTGGTATAAAATAACGCTTTCTTAAAATTTTATATTTGAAGAAAGGGTACCTTTTGGTTTCAATTTTTTTTATAATTATGAAAGTTTTTACCCCCATGAAATGTATATTCCTGTCCTGTACATTATGTCCATTTGTTAATCCTGATTATAAAGTATATAACTTGGTCCACATCCGTGGCCAAATTTTATGAAAACTGTATGACTCCTTCCTTACACTGTAGGGAAATCTTTACTTATCCTAAGACACCATGTATACAGCATATATTTTTGAGATCTTGAATTTGAGTGTAACAGCCTATAGGGTTCAGAATTATTCGGCAATTTAGAAAATTTTAAAAACTGAAAGATAACCTTTCTTCGAGTTTAAAATCCGAAGAAGGCTTAATTTTCTAACAAACGGGTAAAAGAAAGAAATTTTTGCGCCTTTTGTCTATAACATATATTTGTATTTATTAGGGCAGTGAAAATCAATTAGAAAAAAGGCATACTACTAAAGTAGTTTTTTTTAAAGAATACACTTTTGTTGGTAGTCAAAAGGCAGCTCGTTCAAAAGCCGCCATCCTGAGGTGACTGAAATATATCGAGTTTAAGTCGCATGCTGATCAATATTACAATCATACTTTATTAATATGTTCGAGTCGAAGGCATGTTTCAGAGTTTCGGATGACATTTCATGAGATAGAAAATTTACTATAAATTCAAATATATATTTTAGACCGTGTGTACAAAAATATTCTTGCTTCTAGTCAGTCAGTAGTAAATCCCGTTTTTTGATTTCCTACTCAAAGAAAGGATATATATCGATTGAAACACATGCAAGATTATATAATTCAGAGGTAGACGATCAATGTTTCGGATTCTCGCTCGAATCCCTTATCTTTAGGAAGAAGGAAAAGAAGCATGATCAGTCTTGAGTTCTTTTCGAATTTAAGAACTTTCTCTATTCCGTCCCCCACTTGGCAGTTGACGGGAATGGCAGAGAACGGCTTTACTGCGGAAATCACGGTACATACATCAGAATCACCGTCCTTTTGTCCAAGACGCCGTATCTGACCCAGCGACAGAGCTGCTTCGTAAAGTGCAGGCGCCGAAAGTGCGTGCATGGCAAGGGCTGTTTTTATGACTTTGGCACGCACCAGGGTAGTCAATATCCCTCTGAGGTGCGGTGATATCCTGTGACGCGTGCAACTGACCAATGAGCGTATTGTGTCGAGCTTCGCGCCGGGTTAACGCTTTCCGCCCGGGTTGCTGTCCAAACGTCGCAAAACTTTTCTGGTGTTTGCGTGTGAGCTGCAGTTTTCTGCCAAACCTCGTCTATTCGACTGGCGCTGTACACAGCCAGTCTCCTCGGCTTAAAATAGATCCTTTAGCTCTTAAAATTTCTTCTTTGC